GGCACGATAAAGAAAATGTTTTTCTGAAACCTATATCACACCCGACCGCATCTCACGATTTCTAAATAAATATCGATTAACGGTCACTAATCACGACACATTGTATAAAATATGGAATTCTCTTTTAGAGATTAATTTTTTCTTATTTAAAATAGAAAATGTTTTCTAATCAATTTGGCAATCTTGAATATTATGAAGATAATTTATTGTAAGATTTATGAGAAGAAATTAATAACAAAAGTGTATTACATTTTTGAAATGTATTTTTCTTTTATTAATAAAATTTTTTTTTGTTGATTAAAATTGAATTAATCCTTTATTTTCATTTTTCTTAAATCTATTTAAAACAAAGGTAACTATAATAATCCATATATGTATTTAGTATTCATAATACATATATATTAGTATTATTATTATAATATATTAATTATTTTCTTTTACTACTATTGTTAATTATACTTTTTATCTAAGGTCTTGGTTGAGATGAAAAAGCTAGTGTCACGAGTGAGATTCGAACCCACAAACTTCGGCTAACTAGCTAACTATAACATTGTAAAAATCAGAAGAGAGCTTTTACTAGAAGGAAAAATAACATAAAAAACCAATGCATATTTTCCTATGGTGCTTTGAAACTTGACTCACCTGTACTTTTACATAGAGGAAGCACAGGCGAGTCAAATTTCAATGCATTTAACGCTTTTATCTATGGTGGATTTAAAACTGACTCACCCTGTATACGTCGATTTATACTAGCAGGTAGATAAATATGAAACAATTTAACAGACACTACAGTACAGTTTTCTATTAAAAAACACCTCATTAATTTAGAACAAATTTGTAACAAATATTTTCAGAATGATTTGCCTAAATGAGGTTTCTATAGTAATGATTTGAAGGGGAGAAAAGTACAATAATTTAATTTGACAGAATCACATGTTCAAATAGGAAAACAAGTGAAATCAGAAAAAAAATGTATTTTATTTTTTACAATTCAGAAAGATGAAGATAAAAAAAAAAGAAGGTTGAACGGTGTCACTGATTAAAGGCAACTAAAGCTGGACCTCCAAACAAGAAGCTATTAAAATCAGGACATTACAGTAGCGGTAACTCTGAAGAATCTGTTGGGGATGATTTAAACATGGAAGATTAACATGATGATCATTCTGAAGATAATAACCAAATGTCATTAAAGTGATGAAATTTGATGATGAAAGTAGTTATGAAGAAAGAGTGCAATCCCTCATGTCACTTCTCATTGGGTGCAGAGCAGTTGAGGCAATTTTGACAAAATAGTTAAGCCTACATAGCTGACAGAATGTTTGTTCGAATGTGAACAAAAAACTATTTTGTTCATTTATCTTTTTAAATCATACCAAATTGGAATATTTTGCCTCATAGAACATTTCTGTTTTTATCTCAACCAACAATAAAATTATTACTCCAAAAATAATATATATCTTTTTAAATCGCTAAATAGCAATTTATGTTCATTTGATAACGACTAAAATTAGATTTAAAAAAAACTTCATTAACATGATTAAGTCAATTTATTAAGAATTCCATTAAGTCTATTTTTGTCTATGCATTGTTCTCCATCAATATAAAAATAATCAGTGTCATGAGCAGGATTCGAACGAACAAACGACCTACGGCTATATACGCCGCTGCTCTACCACTTGAGCTATTTTTTATCTCAACCAATACCTTACGAGAGATAAATTAATTAAAAAAATGTTATTTTGTCAATTGGACAATGAAATCTAATGAATATGAAAAATATTGATCATGCCAATTGCTTTATTTGATGTGTTTACATATTTCTGTTGTTTTCATTAAATTTTTGTCATTCCTTGTCACTTCCTTTATATATGTCTATATATTTCTGTTGTTTAATTAAATTTTTATCATTCCTTCTCACTTCTTTTTTATTTTTAAACACTTTTTTATTATGACATAATACTTATAACGTTTTATTTGTGTTTGTTATGTTGAATATTGTGCTTATTTTTAATTATTGTTATATGTATATTATTATTTATGTTGATGAAGAAGAAATCGACAATGATGATTAATGTGTTTGGGATCTGGTTTCTGGTCAGGTAGAAAAAGAAGTAGACTCATAGAAATGGTGAATGATGGAGTGAGTGCGGTGTTCAATCCTTTTTTTAAAAAAGTAAAGAAGTAGACTCTGGGATCTGTGTAGGAGGTAATTCCTGTTTAGAAAAATACAAAAATTAGAATTACCTCCTACGCATAATGTTTTCTTTACTGGACCTGCATTTTGGGGAGACCACTGTCCATTAAAAAACTGAAAAAACTTGTCTTAATTTCAAGTTAACCAACCTCATGTACTTCGAGAACTCGTAGTCGATGTCATCGGGGTTTTTTGTCATTCTGTAATGTTAATATGAGAAATAGGATGCTGCTCTGATGATGGTCTTATAAAGGCCGAATGCTTGGCAAGTGATCACCGAGTCTACTTCTTTCTCTACCTGATCAGAAACCAGATCCCAAACATTATTATTCATGTTTCAATTATTCATTATTACTTATGTATAGTTTAAACTCTTATAGGATGTTTTATCTAAAGTGTTGGTTGAGATGAAAAAGTTAGTGTCACGAGTTGAACCCTTGACCTTCAGCTGGAGGAGTTGGCGACTGAGTAGATTGAAGTCACAATAGCTCAAGTGGTTTTAGGGGGTTGTACTAGCCAATTATTATTCATGGGTTCGGACCCCATTCATGACACTAATTGTTTCATCTCAACCAAGACCTTAGATTAAAAGTATAATTAATTGAAATAATTAATACGGTCAATTATTACTGCTTAACATATATAGACTCTTATAGAACTTGTAACTAAGTATATTTGCCCGTATAAATAAAAAAAATAAAAAATTATTTCTAAGATAGTTTTGTAGATAGAGTTTGTACCTACTTTGTTGAAGTAATGGGGAGCGGTCAAGAATGAGGTAGTTTAGAAAAACATATTTTTCATTTTTTTCCTTTTGCTATTCTTGTGGTGTAATATTGTCTAAAAGACAATAATAGCACCACTTTATGTGACAATGTTGCAATTATCGAATTATTTAATTTGTTCAAGTCGTGAGGAACAGTCAAGAATGAGATAGTTTAGAAAAACAACTTTTTCATTTTTTTGCCGACGTTTCGACCTTTATTTGGGTCATCTTCAGGGCCTGGGTAAATTACAAAACATGCATTGATTGGAAAAAATACAATTTAAGATGTAAATATAAATTTTGTACCAAGTACTTCACACTCACATAAAGTTGGTGTCGTTCTTAGCTACAGCTGAGTTTGCATGTATCTGTTCTGTAATTGATGCTGTGTGTGTCTCTGTTAATGTAAACCATTTCTAGAAAGTTGCGTTTCTATTAATTGTGTGTATATTATTTATATGTGTTTAGTATTTGTATTTTGAAAATATAAAATATAAATACTAAACATGGAAGAAAACAAATACAAACTCAACTTTCTAGAAATGGTTTACATGAACAGAGACACACTAAACATTAATTTTTTGTTTTGTAATTTTCCCAGGCCCTGAAGATGACCCAAATAAAGGTCGAAACGTCAGCAAAAAATGAAAAAGGTGTTTTTCTAAATTACCTCATTCTTGACCGCTCCTCACGACTTCAACCAATTATGAAACAACATATTGAGTTATTTGCAATAAAATAGTTCCTTAAAATGACGTCATAATCAGAGGGCGGTTTTTTTTGTTGAGACAACATGCTCGTCCAGGCTTCTTGTGACGTTTTTGTAACCGTTCTTTTTTAAAGACGCACTTCGTACACTCATTACATGTATACAGCTAATATGTAATAAATACAAAATCTATTTGTATACATAAACCTGATGTATGTATTATGCGTGAGAAATGTGTGATTATAGAATTTTTACCGAGCCTGTTTGTTTTCTCCCTTGGCGTTTGTCAACTTGAGATTTTTTTTTTTTAACGTCAAAATGTGATTTCGATAAGGATTCGTCTTCTGATTTGGACGAAAAGAAAGGTCGACGCACGTTCTGCCGTAGTTCACGTAGCGTTGATAGTTTCTTTTTTTCTTTCTTTTAAATACACATACGAAGATAAAGAGAAAGCTGTGCCGCTTTCTCATTTCTCTCTTCCCCCCCCCTTCGAAAAGCCAAAATTTCTCTTACACATCTCAAAGAAACAAATCAGTGGATAAAAAAAAGAAAAATGGCCAATTTGGAAAAGCTTTTACAAAAGTTTTCCTTTTACCTCTACTACTTCGTTTACGAAATCTTTTACTATTTGATCGGGAGTCTGGCAATCGTCGAGGACATCGTTTACAGGAAAAGGAACAAATGCTGTGAGTACACAGAAAAATTATTAAAAACAACTTGGTTTATTATTCCTCCTAGGGCCAAAGTTTATTAACATGTTTGCAGATTCATCTGTGTATCTATTGAATTTCCTATTATTTTTACTATTATTATCATCTCAGAATGTCTAACAAAACGATTCGTTGTCTTCTGAGACACTGTCATGTGGCCGGACCACATTTCCCCCCCCCCAAGTCTCAAATACACGGATGGACAAATTTAACACACCACTCAATTTATTTAGTTTAAAATTAAATCCATCGTCTTTATACATTAGTTACAGATAATTAGGAGTCAAAATAAGCTAAATAATGCTTTGTTTACTTCCTTTGTTTACTTTTGTACTGAATAATCATATTTGCACAAAAATTAGCATTGTGCTATTCCATCTGCTACTTTTCGACTCGTACGAGAATACATTCAATTCAGAAATGTAATCTTTCGCATCCACATATTGTATTCAATACAAGCCCAAGTGCTACACTAACGTAAAAAATTCCACCCAATGGATTTTATTTTCATTTTCTCTATTAAAAAAAAAAGAAAATTGTGCCCTTAATTTGTCTCATTGTTTTTACCAATAGTATTTGTTTATACTCTGTTTTAAATTGGGAGTATCAATTAGAGTTAAATACACTTAATTATTAATTTCACTAATTTCGTGGTCCGCTTGACCAATTAATATATTAAAATTAATTATTAATAAAAAAAAGGATAAAGGCTTTTTCAATGTTTACTCTTTACGGAATTTAAAATCTTTATTCGGTCTCATTGGAATTCTGAATCAATAGTTTAGTTTTCATCTTTGTTTTCTTAAGTTCAATTTTTAAACTTAAAAATGCCACTTAGTGCTGAGGATGTTGCGCGTGGTGTGGCACTTGATGAAAATTTATAAGGGTATTTAGGCAAATTAGACCTTGACTGGATAATAAATCTGAATACACCATTTTCCCAAAATTTGTTATAATTATAAATGTATGGTGATTAGTGACCGTTAATCGATGATTATTCGGAAATCGTGAGATGCGGTCTGGTGTGATGTAGGTTTCAGAAAAAACATTTTCTTTATTGTGCCAATTGGAAAAAAGTGAATTTATACAATGCAAAATATATTTTTTTATATTCAAAGTATTTGTACTCACTCAAAGTGTTTGTTTTCTGTGTAATTGTGCCATTCTTGCGTGTCGTGTTGAGAGTGCCAGTGAGATATTGCTGTTTTATGTTTATATTTACGCTGGCACTTTCAACACGACATGCAAGAATGGCACAATTACACAGAAAACAAACACTTTGAGTGAGTACAAATACTTTGATTGAATATAAAAAATATATTTTGCATTGTATAATTTTTTCCACATCCTACATGTATTTGTTAAATTTAAACAATGTTTGTAAATCCCAGGCCTTGAAGATGATCTCAATAAAGATCGAAACGTTGGCACTATAAAAAAAATGTTTTTCTGAAACTTACATCACACCAGACCGTATCTCACGATTTCTGAATAACAATTATAAAACTCAAACTTATCTATTTGATCATGCTACATAGCACATCAAAAGACTTTGCGATCCAGATTTGATTATACTGTGCCAAATACTTTAAGTCTTATCCCTTCAATATAAAAATCCAATTTGATAAGATCAACCCTACCCTAACTTGTATCATTATATACATTATAATCTGTTATAAGTTGCATAATATTTGTATTAGTTTTGAATACTCGGTGAAATAATGAGACAATAAAAAAAGGGAAAAATTTTTTGCCCGTTGTTTCAGCATTACAGAAACGTACAGGTGAAGTTGCTATTGTCACTGGAGGCGCCAGAGGGATTGGACTGTCTCTTGTAAAAAACCTATTGATGTGTGATATGACAGTGATAATAGGTAAATGTTTCTTATTTTTATAATAACCCTTCATTTAAAAAAAATATATATATTGTTAGGTTGTCGGAAAACAACAGCTGGAGAAGTAGCTATTGACAAATTGAGAACAGCTGGACTCAACTCAGGTCTTGCAAAAGTAATCGAACTTGATCTCATGTCTCTAAAATCTGTGAAGGATTTCGCTCATAAGGTAAAGAGCGAATTCGAAGCTATAAGTCTTATGATAAATAATGGTGAGAATAGTTTTAGTAATTTATTTTTCTGTTTGTAATGCGGCTTATTTGTCCTACAGCGGGAATTATGTTTCCTCCTTATATTGAAAGTGAAGATGGTTATGAATCTCAATGGCAAGTGAACTATTTAGCACCGTTTCTTCTGACGCATCTACTACTCCCTGCTTTTGAACATGCTGGTGAAGTTTCAGGAAAAAATGCCAGAATAGTTAATGTTACCTCTTGTGCCCATGTAGTTTCCCTTCCCATCAATTTTGATAATATAAACAAGAAGTGAGCAAAACTTCAAAGTACTTTAAATATTAAATTCTAATTTATTTATGTTTTTTTTTTTTTTTAAGGGATTATTACATTCCAAGTGCTGTTTACGCACAGTCAAAACTGGCTCAAATTTTGTTTTCCATGGAACTTGATAATTATTTAAAAACAAAACAATCTAAAGTGAGGGTACTGTCAGTACATCCAGGTATCGTCAATACCGATTTATTCAATGGCACTCTTTTGAAAACAATATTCCCTTGGTTGCTTAAATATATATGTAAAGTGAGTATTTGTATTAATTTCGTTTTACAATATAAAACTAATATCGTTTCACTTGCTGTAAAGGATGTCGAAGAAGGAGCGACGTCTGTTCTTTACCCGTGTTTGTCGCCTACACTTGAAAACGTCGGAGGAGTTTACATCAGTAACTGCCAGTTGAAAAACCCGAGCTCATTGGCAAAGGACAAAGCCCTACAGGCAAAATTATTCCAACACTCTCTCAATGCCCTGAACATAAAAGAGTTTGGAGTCGCAATATCATCAAATTAATTGTTTTTAAAAGTATTATGTATGTTTTTATTCATTGTTTAAAAAAGTGTGGTTTGTAATTAACATTGCAATACCAGCATGAGACTGAATCAACGACTTAACATTTATATAATATTTCATGCACTTTCATTCTTTTTTTAATATGTTATATCTTTGTTAATATGTTGTTTTAATTAAATTTTTTATTTTTGTAAATAAAAATATTTTCTTATTAATACAAAACTAGTAATTGTTTATAATACTCTTTAGAATATCATATCAGAATTGCACACTTGACAGCAGGTTTCAAGTCGATATCTGGAACTGCGGAAAGCTGCATTTTCCAGGGTTATAAATGGTGCAGCGTGTCACGATGTCACAGCTGTCTCGTCCATACTTAAACCTGCGTTAAGCAGTTGCAGTTTCGCCGTTCCAAAGAGGACAGTTTCCAGACAATGTGTTCCAGTCACACATGTCTAACTAACAATGTCTATTGTTTTAGTGTGTAAGGTAACCAAGTGGGCAGAGAACAGTATAACGCGTATTATTTTTTTCATTTCCTCCCCTTTGTTTTACTTTCACCTGAGACCGTTGGTGGGCTATCTTTAGGTCAGGCTGTTTGTACCTCCGTGCGCTCTGGATGTTTGGATGTATTTATGTAATGTCTTCATATCTTCCAGGTGTAATGCCAAGATACTTTGTCTTTCTGGAGAAAGCTATATATTTATTTCAAAGAGGATACTTTTAGATTAAGCTTCCTTCTCTTTGTGAATGGTACTAGTGTGGTTTTGTTTGGATTGACAACCAGAGCTATGTCCTCACAACCTTTCTACAATTTTGAGGGCACTTGTATTTTAGGTGAAACAGTTTCATCAAATTTGCCCTTTATCATTACTACTAGGTACTATTAGGACTTCATCCACCAACGACCATAAGAGTGGCGATAGTACACCCCCTTGGGGTACACAAACCGTGACATGGCTGCTCTCAGCCAAGCTGTGAATCCGTTTAGGAGCAGTTTCATGTATCCTAACCTTAAGATAATAAGTAAGACCTCATTACTAACTTTGGGGTTTTTATTCTTTCAATCATTCTTGTTTCTATTTTTGTATGGAACGGGCCTATTGAAGTTTTTCTTTTGTTTTCATTTTGTCAGACACCGTTGTAACGGTGGCTTGTAGTGGCTTTTTCTTAAGTCAGGCTGTTTCCACTTTTGTAACCTCTGGATAGGTCGGCAATGTTAATCCTATGAAACAGGGCAAGTATGCATTGCCTGTGTAGTGTTGAGAGATGCCATTTTTCTTGTCATTTCTTTAATTGATCCTGCGTTTTTTTTTTTTTTTTTTTTTTTTTTTTTTTTTTTTTGACCACCATACTAGTTCCATATGGGCCAGAGGTCTAATCGTTGTATATATCCAGCAGGCTATTTTTGTATTTATACCCATGTTTCACTGCAAAATTTTTGACCCATGTTTGTAATGGCTTTCCCTTTTTGTATTGCTTTCTCTATATTTCTTCTCTGGAAGCTTCTAGTGTTATTTCTAGTTGCTTTGTTTCCCCGGCCAAAGTTATTAAAAAATTAAGTTAAAAGCTACTAAGGAAGGTGATTTTAAGCTTCCTTTGTGAAAGGTATTTGTTTGGTTAACACACAGACCAATATTTTCACATCAACTTTCTACTTAGCTGAGGGCGCACATTGCAATTAGGACGAAACAACTTAATCATAATATATGCTCTTTATTTCTATTAGATCATCAGCATAACATATGATAAGGTATCCAAGTCTATTTACTCTACAATAAACTAATCAACCTACAACCACAAGTGGGGATAGTAGGAGTCCCTTGGAGGCATCCTTGTTGTGGTATGATTGTCATTGACCAATTCAGCTATATTGCCATTATCCAGTTAAAGTCTTTACCCATACTGCTGCTTCAATCAGTACAATGCTACTTCTTTCTCCTCCATGGCCAACTTGCTCTACCAGTGCATTTAGGGCAGTTTTCTGGATTTGCCCTTCTGGTAGGGAGAAGTTTCTTAGGGAGTTTTTTCAAAATTTTCTTTTAATTCTGGACCTATCTTCTCCATTGTGAGTTATACAAAGGATTTCTTTAATGACTAGAGTTTTGGTTGCCCTGATTTAGGATTATAAGTAGTACCGACAGTCTGGGTAGTGAGCAAAGGGATTGTGCAGCAGGCAGCCAGGTCGGCTATGCAGAGTTGATGCTGCGAGTACCCTTGCTGTTCACACCCTTGCAACTCGGTCCATTAGCGAATGATGAGACCTTATCTGCCTCTGTAATAACCTTATGGGTCATAGAACCCCGGCTTATACACAGGATTGCTGCACACTCATTGGCTTCAGAGCAGAGGGAGAAACCATTGTTGAAGCAATGGCAACAGCTAGTGGACAATTTGGTAGCCACAGATGTAGGCTTATTGGCCGTACTGATTTTGCCGATAAGAATATGGGGCGACTACCCGCCTTTGAAATGGATACAGCTTTTGTTTTTCTCCATATCCTTGGGATAAGCATTAACTCATAGCTGGCCATTAAAATCCTAGTTAAAATGGGGGTTATATACTCTAAACCTTGGAGTAGCAGCTGCATGGGAAAAATGTTATCACCTCCAGTTGATTTATAGGGTTTAAATGTGCTAATAGCATTGTGAGGAAAGCAGCTTCTGGCTTTTTGAGCATATGGCAGTTGCGCGAGTCCTTACTGGGCCTTCAGTGTTCTCAGCTAATTTTATTTGCTGTACACCTGGAAAATAATCTGCCATTAGCTCATCTAGGCAGTGGCGGACCCAAGGGGGATGTAAAAGGGTAATCCCCCCCGAGCCAACTGAAGATGTTATCTTTTATATGTAATATGTCAGTTAAGACTTAATTAAGCGAACATTTTTATATTTCAGGATTATAAAAACTTGATAAATCTTCCCTAAATCAGTTTCCTCTTAAATGGTCACGCTTTGGCATTGTTGTTCTTCTTTCTATACTTCGATCTCTCCATCTGATATCAAGAAAAGGCGACGAAAGTCAAAAATTCAAACTTTTTGCCATTTTTGCGTTTTCTCCCGCACAACAACCAGCTCGGTTTGTCTAACTTCACATCCCCCTAGCTCCGTCACTCACTATTGGATTTTGGCATTTTTGGTACCGTTTTTCTGCAAATTTTTTTTTTATTATTTTTTTTATTAAAATCTGCAATTATTATTTACAACCGTTTTTAAGCTGGATTCTTCATGTAACTTTTAAGCTCGGTTTGTCTCAAATCCAAGCAGTATTTTAAATGTTATCATAATTTTAAAAAAAATTAATCAGGATTTTTTTCTCAAATACGGTACTTTCGAACCTAAATTCTTTCGTTTAAAAGCTCAAATTAATTTTTTTTTATAATAAAATGAAATCGTAGGCGTTTCTTAATTGTTTGCTACCAAATATGCCAAGGTGTCTTTTAAATTAACATATAAATCGAAGTAAAAAGCAAACGTCCTTAAAACTGTGTATTATTAAAAAATATGGCATGGCCATCGCGCGTCTTTTTCCGTAAATCTCACATTGTTACAAAAAACTAATGTGAAGTATCGCGAGAAAATAATTAATTAAATAGCTTAAATAAAATTTCATATTAGGAGTTAACTAGGAAACCATTATTTTATTTTCATTATTTTCAGTGGTGTTTGGGTGTAAATGTGATCCGCAGAAAGCCAAAAACAAAACAAAAATTTAATGCCAGCTGTTAATAAGAAACAAAAATATTTGATTAATTTTGTTTGTTTCAATATGTTCATGGTGTTTCGTTTTGTATAAAATAAATAATAATATATACCCATGGCTTTCAAATTATTCTATAATTTTTAAAGTAGCAAATTTTTAGAACCGCTGGATTGATTCCGCAAAAGAAAGAAATTTACCTCTCACTTCTTACTGCCGTGAGGGGTTTTTTTTGTTCGTATATGTTTTGTGCTAAAAATTTACATTGTAGACCATGATTTTTTTCGTGATTAGTGATGTCCTTCTGGTGCTTTTCTGATTTCCGCCTCTAATCTTCTTATTCGATCTCGATGTGATAACCTCTAAGTTGATGATTAATTTTTTATATTCGTTCGGTGACTAAAAACATTTACTTTGCAGACTATGATGGAAAGCATTTTAGAAGCTTATGTAGAAATGTGTGGTGTTTAGTGACCGTTAGTTAATGATTATTTGGAGATCGTGAGATGCGGTCTGGTGTGACGTAGTTTCAGAAAAACATTTTCTTTATCGTGCCAACGTTTCAATCTTTATTGAGATCATCTTCAGGGCCTGGGATTGAGGTGGGGGTAAGGGTAAGAGAGTAAAGCAACATGACTGCAAAAAACCCAAACAAAATCCTACAGCACTGGCTACCCACCATTTTGAACACCAACACAATTTCGACTTCAACAATCTAAAAATATTACACACAGAACAAAACAAATATAAACGTAACTTTTTAGAAATGGTTTACATCAACAGAGATATGTACCCGGTGGACCTTTCCTTACCAGTGCTCAAAAAATGGCTAGGCTTCAATTTGCATGTTAACATGTGAGTTGGACATTGGTAGATTGTGGACTAGTTCTCCTTACAGATTAAGGTGAAAGGTTACAGGTTTGTCTCAAATCTTCAGAAGGGCATAATTTTATATGGATATGGCTGAGGAGAAAGGTACGCCCCATGCTGTATCATCCTCAGGTGGCATTCCAATGGTGAGTCATGATGTTCTGGGGTGGCATTTCCTTGGACGCCCGCATTGAAATGGTTGTTGTGTGAGGAAGATCTTTAACTTCACAGAGGTACTTACATAATTTCAGAATAGGTAATGCCATTTGCCCCCTCCCACATCAGTGAGAGCACGTATCGTGGCTACCTGAACGAGGTTGGAATGGAGTGCTTGGTATGGCCAGCTCGAAGTCCAGATTTGAACCGAATCGAACACATTTGGGACCAACTTGAGCATTGATACGACGACGAAACCCGGTCCTAACACCCCAGAAAAGTTGCTGCTTTTGATGAATGGGAAAAAATTCCTCAGGATTTTATGAGAAATCTGTTCCAAGGAATGCAAAGACGTTTAAATTTGTCCATCAGTGTATGAAATACTACTGTTTTTAGCTAAAGTATCTTTGCTATGCTGAACTAAAT